AGTCCTCTCACCAGGTTTCCCTGGTTTCTCTCTGACTCTCCCCCCCCCCCTTTTTTTTTGCTTGACAAATTTTTGTCTGGAATTTTTTTGGAAGCCATCTGGCAACCCTATGTGTGAGCAAGGCAGTCGCCCAGGGCCGCCAATGGGTTAGGACCAGCCCTGCAGGCAGGCCCAGAGGGCGCAACCGCTGGGCAGCGGTAGCTCATTCCCCCACAGCCATTTCCATGGTGCAGTCTCTCTCTCTGTGGCTGGGGGCCACGTCAGAGACAGGCAGGGTCTAACATCTGAAGGATCGACTAGGGTGCCATTCACAGCCATGCATCATCATTGGCTCCACACCGACCTCCAGCTCTTTCCAGAGGCTCCCCTCCCCACACCACCAGCCTCAGCCAGGCCACTGCCTCCAGGGTCCATCACAAGAGGCAGCCTGGCCTACATCCCATTCCCTGACAACCCAGCCACCGAAGGGGGAACGTGCTGGAGTTCTACTGTGCCTCTTGCTTCCTATAAGCATTGGGAGAGGCTGGCAAGCCACATGCACATAGACAGGCACCTTGAGTATAAGCTTGGTGCAATACCTGGGTGCAATTCATCAGCATTGTGGGCAGATTCCTCAACAGCTTCCTCCACAGTGAAGTCCCTTCTCCATCCCTCATCCCCCCCATCTGGTCTGGCACCTCCTCCTTAGCTCCCCACTCCCCCCACTGGTCCCCAGCCTACTTCTGCTACCCGTTGTGGTGCGACTTTACCACCACAGCTATAATACGGAATGGACCTGACAGATTTTTTTTGCCACAGGTCCCAGCTAAAGACCTTCCAAGTACAGCCAGTAGGGGGGTGCTTAGAACTGTATAGGTTCTAATGCCGTATGGACACACGGGTGCATCGTTGGCACGTGAGCTTTAGAAAATGCTACAAAACTTTTCTAAGTAATAAGACAAGCCCTAACATACTCTTTTTGCCACCCAATATGGGATGGGAGAAGATTTTGGACTCTGCCCTTTGGGAAGAGATTAGAGACTTTGAGCATTTTCTACCCGACACAATAGCCATGGCAAATATTATGGTGCTGAGCATCGGTCTAGATTCTTAGCACCACTTCTGTGCCTCAGCTCCTAAGATTTTTTCAGGACTGATGACATTTGCCCATATTCCCAGATGCTCAGTGGTTAAGTCTCCTTTTCCAATGGGGAGGGGTGAGCATTTACGAAAGAACCAAATAACCATTTTAGAATCTGAACTGGGCACCAAGAACAGAACCTCTACCTCAAACCTCCTGCCGTTAACAAGAGGTGGGAGTCAGGTCCCGTGTGGCTACAGCTCTAAACCATAGCCAGAGTGGATCTAGTTTCAATTCAGATATGGCCAAGATCTGCCACATTCAGGGCCAGATTTTCAGTAGAGCGCCACTTTCGTTTTAGGCACGTAAGTGATGTGGTCAGATTTTCAAGAGAGCTCGGCATCTGGGATGCTGAAGTCTGTTGGAAAAAAAAAAATCTAGCCCCAAGCTCTTGAACAATTTCCTCAGACTAGAGATGACCGCATCAGAGCAGACTGCCTCCGTGGGCACCTGGGCGAGATGTTTGAGAGGGGAATCTGGCTCCACACTCCTGGAAGAGGCAGGGCTGAGGGCAGCCAGCCCTCAGCACTGCCCAGAGCACAGCATACACCTCCCCCCACCCCACGGTCAGTGCTACCCTGAGTATGGCATGCACCTCCCCCCGCTTCAAGCACTACCCAGAGCATGCAGCATGGTGCTCCTGCAGCATTTTAAAGGACCAGAGGCTCCAGGTGCCACCGGTGCTACTGTGCCAGCACTTGGAGCCCTGGGCTCCTTTGAAATCATTGGGCCCTGGGGCAATTGCCCCTTTTAGCAGGCCTGGGTGACAACTAATAGGTAGGGGCCCTGATAGATAAAGACGGAGGGACAAGGGGCACCAATGTGTGGAGATCTCGCAGGGATATTCTAATGCCAATAAATAAATGAAACAGGCTGAATTGGCCTGTTTGTCAGGACCAAGCACCCTGAAAGAAAATGATCAACACCTGTTCTATTAATATCAAGCAGGATTCTGAAAAGGGGAAAAGTGCCTGTGTGGTTTTTCTGGGGAAGGCACACGCGATCCCGCACAAGGCTGCAGTAACTCAACCCAGAGTGCTTGACACTTCTCTAAGTAGGTTCTTAAATAAGAGCTTTGCCACTTTAACCACTTCCTGGGTGCCAGTAAATCTGAAGCACGGTTCTGATCGACTGAATAGAAACAACAGTTGATGGCACAGATGATGAGTCCCCGAGTTATCTAGCTGGATGACATTTTGCATCTCTTCTGCAGCGGCTAAATCTGTAACGAGAGGCAAGGTGCCAACGTTTGCCATCGACTATTGTGCTCCTCCACCTACTCACTTGTGGATATGACAACAGCTCAGCCTTGGAGCTGGCTTCTGACAGCATGGCTTATTTTGGGCTGATTTTTTCCACTTGTCTAGGCAAGAACTACTCTGCCACAGCAGCCTTCAGGCAACACCTCATAGTTCAGAGACCCCACAACATCGTTAGCCCAAAATACATTTTACCATTTTGGTTCTGCACTTAGCACCCAGTGGAGCCCCACTGAAAATCAGCCTCCACGGGGGAGAGTGGAGCTTATTTCACCCCAAGATGTTGAACTGGCCTGTGTCTTCCCAGTAGGTTGGGAAAAAGATGAGATAGATTCTCACCCTTTCCCAACACAGCCACTTTACTAGACTGGCATCCACCTGATGACTAGAGCCCTGCAAGGATATGAAATTTTGCATCTGCATCCGCAAAAACAAATGAGTAATGGATATTCACATCCGCATCTACGGATGGAGATACCTGCAGATATAAAAGTGGATCTCCGCAGAGCTACAGGGCTCTACTGATGGTGTGCACTAAAGAATCAGCACATGGCTAGTCCCACAAATGTTTGAGGCTAGACATTCGCTGAATTGTGGGAGTTTTCTGGGCACAGTCAGTTGAATTTCAGGCACCTTCTTTTTAAAATTTCCCATGAAAGTTTCAGCAAACGAGTTTGCCAGCAAAAAATGCTCATCACAACTGCCTCTGTCTCAGAGAACAGATTTTGAATGATCTCAAAAGAGGAGGACACATGCCAGAAACCTGCTGGTAAGAGCTAGAACAATTTAGTTCAGGGACAGAAACGTAGCCAGGGCCTGGACATCTAAGTTCAAATAGCTCAGATTTGGAATTCCAAGTTCATGAAACTGACAGCCTGTGAAATACGCTTTAGCTCACGAGTGATTTACCCCAAAGCTTGTGAATATTTTCAGATAACTAAGGGTATGTCTACACAGCAAAGTTATTTCGAAAAAAACAGCTGTTATTTCAAACTAACTTTACTAGCGTCTGCACAAGCCAACCGCTATTTTGAAATTAAATCGAAATAGCGGAGGCTTATTTTGAACTTGGTAAACCTCATTCCACAAGGAATAGCACCAATTTCAAAATTGCTATTTTGAAATAAGCGCTGTGTAGATGCAGAATAGGGGCTATTTCAGAATAGGGGGCCTCCAGCCCTTCCTAAGGTGCCCTGCTGGCCACTCTGGCCCCAACCAGGAAAACTCCTCTCCTGCCCCACTCCCAGGAGCCGTTAAAGGGGTAAAGTCTGGCCACAGTGCCTGTGCCATCTCCAGGCCCGCCAGCCCAGAGCCAGTACTTGCTGCCCCTGACCTAGTGGACCCAACATGAGCCAGCAAGCCACTGCGAGCCAGTCCTCTACCACTCCCCAGGACCAGTCTGCCAGCTCCCAGGGGCCGGAAAAGGCAGGCACCTTCCTGGTCCAGTGCGAGATGAGGAACCTCATTGAGGTTTGGGGGGAGGCCTCCAACATCCATGATCTCCACACTAGTTGGAGGAATGTGTCCGTCTACAGGCGGATGGTTGCCAGCCTGGCCCTCAAAGACCACATCCGAATCAGGAGCAGGTTTGGATGAAAATCAAGGAGCTGTGGCAGGTGTATGCCAGGGCCACTGGGGGCAGCTCCCAAACAGGGGCAGACCCAGACACCTGCCCCTATTTTGATGCCCTGGGCCGCATCCTGGGGGGCGGAACGGTCCATACCCCCAAGGTGGTCATCGACCCTGGCGTAGAGGTACCTGATCAGAGCACGGAGGAGGAGGAGGAGGAGGAGAAGGGCCAGGAGCCATAGGAGCCCGGAGGGAGCGAGCCAAGCAGCCAGGATCCCCGAGCCGTCCTAGCGAGCCAGTTGCTGGGGCCATCCGAGGCCAGGAAGGCAACATGTGAGTGCCATCACTGTCCCCTTATGCAGGGGAGGGAGACCGGGGCCTGTGTGTGGGCCTTGTTGACCACAGATCACGCAGGAACCTGTGCATGTGCCATGCGAGCCCTGCGCACGTGGCCCCAACTGGCTGCCACACAGGGGCCTTGGCCTGTTACGTGTGTATGTATGAAGGCACAAGATGTACTCTTGACCCTAGGGTGGGACACGGCAGGATGCCCTCCCTCCACAAGCCCCCTCTACACAGAGGCAGAAGACATCTCCTCCCCTCTCACACAGACCCACACCACATACAGTACAGGAGACCGGGGACTGTGTGTGGGCCTTGTTGACCACAGATCACGCAGGAACCTGTGCATGTGCCATGCGAGCCCTGCGCACGTGGCCCCAACTGGCTGCCACACAGGGGCCTTGGCCTGTTACGTGTGTATGTATGAAGGCACAAGATGTACTCTTGACCCTAGGGTGGGACACGGCAGGATGCCCTCCCTCCACAAGCCCCCTCTACACAGAGGCAGAAGACATCTCCTCCCCTCTCACACAGACCCACACCACATACAGTACAGAAGCATGGGACAGGGACTTCCCAAACATGGCCTCTGTACTAGCACATCGGCTCTGATGGTGTAGAGACCTGTTGCCCTCGCCTTGCAGAAGGGGGCTGGGCTTCATCCACTGTGTCCCCAGGGATATCTGACCACTTCTCTTGTTTCTCCACAGCTGCACCAGCGGTGAGTGCAGGGCGCACCACCCCGCCCAGGACATCCTCCTGCACCCGGGCACTCTGCAGGTTGACCCGTGCCCAAGCAGCAGCACCTGGGGATACTATGAGTCCTGCACTGCACCCTCAACCTCTGGGTGCAAGAAGACCTGCAGCTCCGGTGGGAGATGCTTGCCAGGGCCATGCCATCTGCGATCACCTGCAGACCCTGGTACAGAGATTGCTGCCTCCTGCCACTCCAGCCCCTGCTGCCTCCCCAGCTACCACTCTTCCTCCACATCCTCCCCTGGAGACACTGAGGTCCCCGCACCCGTAGTGGTGGGAGACAGGTGGGCCAGCAAGACCCTGAGCTTCTCCTCCTCCTTCCTCCTCTTGCCTCCCCCTTCCAGCTCCCTCCTCCCAGGTTTACCCCTCCCCTCTTCCACCTTCTTTCCCCAGTCTCACCTGAGTTTCATTGCCCCCCACCCCAGTTTTGTTCAATAAAGAGAGCTTGTTTTCTTGAACATGTGTCTTTATTGTACATCAGGAAGGGGGGTTAGGGAGGGGTAAGTGGAAGGATGTAAGGGTGGAATGAGGCACAAGCCCCCAGTGAGGCACACCAGGGAGACTGTTACTGCCTGCAGAAAGTGCAGCCAGGCTCACAGCAACACGTCCACGAGAAGCACCAGAGTGCCCAGGGGCAGCTCTGGCTCCATGGTGCAGAGTGCTGTGGTATCCCAAGTAAGGGCAATCAAAGCACGCAGAGAAAAATATGCTTTGCTCTCCTTTAGTGAGGTAGGCAAGCAAGCAAGCAGGGAAACCTGAGAACCGGCTGTCCGGGGGGGGAAGGGGTTCCCTTTAAGCACAGGTCTCAGATAGCCTCAGGCAGCAGCCACACAAGGTAAATCCTGACCTGATGCCCTGCCAGAACCAGTTCCGACTGGCCTTAAATGTGATTCAGTGTCCTATCAGTGTGGACGTGCTATTTCGAAATAGCAAAACACTATTTTGAAATGCATTTTGTGTCTAGATGCGTTATTTCAAAATTAGATATTTCAAAATAACGCTGTTGTGTAGACGTACCCTACGTGAGCAATCATCTGTTAACAGGGAATCCTTGGAAAACCAGAAGGTTTCTTAACCAAATATTTGCTAGGAATTATTTTCTCAGGATAGCCTCACGTTACCCCATAGGAACTGAATCATAGTGCCAGAAGTCAAAGGGGTAAGAGACTGTAGAGAAATTAATAAGACTGGATCTAGAATGAAGATATTCACCTGACTCAAAGCTATTCATGAGGGTTAATAGTGGGATAAACATTACAGAACTTATAAGGCTACTAAACCCACTGAATAGTGGTAGCACGTGAGACACGTTGGTATCAAGTCTTGTGATGGGGCATGCATACCCCACATTAGCGGTTAATTCCTCTCTTTGGGCTAAGCCTCAGCCCCCTTGACCATGGCAGACATGCTCCGGCTGGAGGTCAGGTATGAAAGGGAGCGGCCCCATTCATTTGGTGCTGGAGAGGAAGGAGGTGTGCGGCCAATCGCTGCAGAAGGATTGCTGACACTTCACGCTGGGGAGGCCAGGTAGACAGAAGTGACCCATGACTCCCAGAGGCCACAATGGGAGGCCAAACCCCAAGCTGCAGAGAAGTGGGTAGGAAGTAACTGAGTGAGGCTTTGGTGAGGAAATGGTTGGAGACCGGCTCAGCATTTCTTTGGCTGGATCTCTGCCGAGCCGGTGGCAGATAATCCCACCACAAGCTGGGACCCAGTGGAGATGGAGGGCTTGGGTTCTCCTATCTTGGCCACCAGCTTCCCTGGGGTAATAGCCCACCTCACTCCTCTCCTGACTTCGGCTACTAGGCCACACGGCCCTGACAGAAAAGGCAGATAGAGTGATTTTGGCTGTCAGGCGATGTTACTCTGAGACCTGGAGGTGTTATATGGACTTGCTTTGCAGGCCTGTAGCAACCCGTGTCCCATCCCAAAAGGGGACAGGGTGTGCATGACCCAAAACAGGGTTGAGAGATTCTAGCTGTTTGGAGATCCAAGCACAATTTTGAAAGACTCCCAAGTCCAGCTTAGGGCAGAAGTTTATGGCCAGTAACACTCTCCCCTTTGCTCTGGTCTCTGCCGGTCCCTCCCTACACCGTAGGCCCATATAGTCAGACAGACCCTACAACAGCCTCTCTCAAGCCAACAGCTCTCAAGCAACAAGTTCTCTGGTAAATCCAAGAGATACCGACATTCATTGACCTCAGCATCTCTTCATTAGCTATGGTGCACATTTACTTCCCCCCGCCCCAACTTAGCAGTAACAAAACCTCAAAGGCCTGTGCTACGTGGTATACGGGCAGCCTGCATGGAGCCCCATTGACTTTGTTGTCTTCAGGTCGTCACTGTCAAGTCCCAAGTCAAGTCTTAAGTCTTAATTTAAAAAATGTCAAGTCGCTTTTGTACAATTCATCAATATCGGCATTTTCAGACATTTTTGTGACCCAGTCTATTTAACAAAATTAGCAAGTCTCATGTCGAGTCTCAAGTCACAGACAAGGAACCCAAGTCGAGTCACCTAGATGACTTAAGTCAGACTCGAGTTCAAGTCAACAACTCTGCCTATTGACACCAATAGGGAGCTCGCTGCAGGACTGAAGTTTAAGGTGCTTCAAAGGAGCTCATCAGTAAATGCTTGGAGTGTCAATGGCTTGAGGGATGGGAACATCTCTTCCCTTGCCTCATTATTCCTCCTCTGGTGCATCAGGTCTAAGCATTGGGGGTGGTGTATCAAAGGAGCCTGCATGTCTGACACCAACCAGGTCACAGATACTGAATTGACGGAAATAAGGAGAGCAGAAATAACTAGAGAAACGTGGCAGGACTCTTGCCTTCCATGATGCCTGATCTAGAAAACTGGAGAAATATGCCCCTCTGGCATATTAAATAGATTATTCTACTTGTGATAAAAACATTTTTATTATTCAGACTATCCAGGACACAAGTAAAAAAGTATTTGACTCAATTAAGTGATGACCTACCTCAATCCCTTAAGCTTGACCCTCCACTCTAGCATTAATTCAGTTCACTAAACCATAGCACAAATCTCCAGGGAAGTGATGAATGATACATGAATTGTCACATTACACATGTGATGGTTTTGGTCTTTTGCTTTGTATGTATCTATCATTAGAAGAACCAGATTGCGGACATTTATTGCTATAAAATTGTCTCCGAAACAGCTATGTAATTATTGGAGATCCCCCAAACCATTCAAGGATCAAAGAATTCCCATCACTCAAAGATGGCAGAAGATTTTTTGAGAGATGTACTATTATGCAGTACTATACCCAGACCTAGCCAAGGCGGTGGAATTCATGCTGTGTCTGCCTGGTACTACAGTATTTGCTGAACGCGTCTTTTCAATAATGAAATAACTTTTGAATGGCTCCACCCCGAAGGCTGTCTTCTGCACGTGAGTTAACTTTTCTCCACACTGTACTGCACTCTACGATAAGTTACTGAGAAGCAAATCAACCCTCAGGAAAATAGCATCTTCAGAGAGAGACACAACTGATATGAACCAGCTTCACACTGAAGAGCAGCAGCAAGACAAGGGACAATGCCAACACTGAATTGTAAGTAAAACAGATGATGCTTTAAAATACAAATCTATGAAGCTGGCTTATCTTTTTGGCATACCGTAAGTAAACTCCCTTGAGCACTGACCGCCTCTTACCAGGTGGCCTGTTTTTCGTTTAGGGGTTTAGGTCGCCCTACCTGGGAAAGTGCCTCGAGGAGTCTGAGGCACTATAGGAATGGAAGGGGATGGTCTCCTGTGATGATAGCAGAAAGAGGAGATTGTCTCTAGTGGCAACCGTAGAAGTCCGGGTAACAGGAAAGTACAGGAGAATCACCTGCTAGTGGAAAATACTGAAAGCAGAATGTTCTTCAAGTGAACCAGAAAGTTCCCTGAGCCTTCACCCGACCCCTGCTACTGATCCACCAGAACCTTCCCCACCAGCGCGCACAGCCAGATGGGCAACAGCAAACCATGGGGCTCAGCCAGGCAGCCATATTCATGCTCACTCCATTCCATGGGTGGCCGGTATGCTAGGTGGGGGAATGCTCTGCCTTCCAAAACGTCCCTGCCCACACTCCAGCCCCAGAGCACCTGCTGTAGGCATTCGGGGGCGGAGTGTTGCTGCCCCCAGCACCTGCCCTCCCTGTGCTCCATGGCTGGGAGGCTGGGGCAATCTGCCACCTGCCCTCCTTCCTCCCTGTGCTCTAGGGGAGGCTCGGGCCACACGCCTGCCCATTCTCCCCGTGCTCTAGGGGTGGGGAGGCTGCCACGCCGCCATCCTCCTCCCCCTCTCCATGGGGGAGGCAGCTTGGCTCCCACAGGAGGTGGGTCCTTGGCGGAAGGGGTGGGGCTAGGGGCTTACCTCCCCCAGTCCTACCTTCACCCACCGCCCATGCTCCACACTGCAGTGACTGGGCTATGAGAGGGAGCTGTACCTCAGCTCAGGTCTCGAGATGGGACCTAATTCCTCTCCCACTGGATGAGGAACCGCAGTAGCACTACACTTCCCCTCAGCTGGACTTTTACACGTGCCCGTATCAAAAGACAGGGAGAGCTATGGCTCCCCCAAGGTTGTCTAAGCAACGGCCGTGCAAGAGCTCAGATGAGATTTGCATTTTGTTTCTCTGCTCAAACCCCAAATTAACTGAACTTACTGTAGGATGGTTCCAGATTTAGAAATTCAACTTTCACTTCATGATGCTGTCATGTAGCACAGCCACCGTGCTCTGTGGTGGTTGTGCAGACATTATGTTGCAACGGCTTGGAAAAAGGAAGTATCAGGAAATGCAAAGTAAAAGCAAACAGATTTCCTAGTGGCATGGAGTTGGGGGAGACCTCACTTTGCTTTCCACAAAGAAGGGGGATGCCCCGGGTAACCGTTCCAAGCCGTCTTTATTGGCAGATTCCTGGAGCATTAGCAATGGAATCCAGCCAGATATTTCTGGGTCTATGTTCGTGGCTGGGATATGCTGCATGTACATTTGTGCTAGAGGCAAATGAGAGTGGAACTCCAGGACAAATATATGGTGGCTAAGAGGGTTAGGGGACAGGGAGGGAAACACAAGGGGCTTATAAAGAAAAACAAGAGCAAGAGGAGCAGTGTTATGGGAGTCTGTAAGGGGTTTCTGCTGTACTTCATGTCTGAGCGCATGGAGATGCAGAGGCCAATGGGAAAGGAAAGTGCAAGTAAGATTATTCCTTCAGCCCCCTTCCCCATATAAAACACAAAGACAATGGGGCGTCACTGTCCAGGAGATGGAATTAAAGTCTTTGGTGGATGCACTGATTTAATGCATCCCGAAGCAGCTCTGGGCCACAGGACTCAGGTATGTGAGTTAA